TTTTTTTTGCCAGAGAGTGATGTGTGTGCTTGCCAGGGAGAAAGAGAGAGAGACACTCCTCAAGCGGGCGGTCACACTGCAATCCCTTCTCCTCCTCCATCTCTCCCTCTTTTGGGGATTTTGGGCATGTACATGTACCTGGCATGTTGCTCAAGCCTCCAGGTCCAGGACTCGAACCACACAGTTGGCAGTGTAGGATCTAGCCACCTTTACCACCATGCCACCAGCTGGCCCTCTGGACTGGTGCTTTAATAAGCTCGCCATATGTGAGTGGTTCCAGAGCTTGCCGAGCACCCGTGGGTCAGAGGGACTCCTCGGGCCACTCCCAACCTGGGGGTGGCAAGACAGAAGCCCGGACTCGTGCTCGTAGGGGTGCTGGATTTTAGGGTGGCATGGGCACCTCTGTGTTCTTCAGGGAAGTTTGGAAGAGTCAGTGATGAAGTATCCTGTCTCCTAACAGGATGCAAGTTTGGAGCAGAACCCCAGGCAGGGGTTGAGCTAGCCAAGTGCTCTTAGTGTGGCCTGGAGAGTTTAACCTACTTTTTAAAACTTCATTTTTAGGGGCCGGCAGATAACATGGTAGTTATGGTAGTTACGGTGCTGGACCTCCACATGGTCAACTGCAGTTCGAGTCCTGGACCTGGTGGCTCTGTCTCTCTCTGGTCAAAATAATAATAATGTTAGTTAAAAATTAAATAAATAATTATTTTAAAAATTTGTTTAAAAAATTTTTTACATTTTCTGAATTTACATTTAATCACTATATACCCAGTTTTTTTTTAAGAGAGAGATTTTTTGCTATAGAGCAGGTGCACTCACTGAAGAGACATAGAGACAGAAAGTGAGAAATCACCCCCCATGGGGGATGGCCACGCCACAATCCCTTCTCCTCTATTCTCCTCTCGGGATTTTGGGTACACACGCACACATGCCCGGTATGAGTTTTAATACTGGGTCCAGGAATCAAACTGCGGTAGACTATGTGGGAGTCCAGTGACATAACCATTAAGCCATCTGCAGGCCCCAATCACTGGACATCTTCTCAGTGTACAAATGCTTTTCCCCAGTATGAAGACAGTGCGTATTAGTCAAGTCAAAGATAGTACCATGTGCATGAGTATCCACAGATACCTTTCATTTTCACGTCTGTTAAATGTTTAAACTACTTTTGTGCAGGCCTGAAGCGGGTGATATTGCTCAGGCCGGCACAGGGGACCATGCACCGAGCTGAGGGGATGGACTGGACTAGTGCAGCCTTTGAGGGGCCAGGCAGAGGCAGCTTCCAGGGCATCACAGTCGAGTCCTGGGCCGAATCTGGGCGCCAAGTATAAGCACAGACAGGAGAGAAATTCTGGCCTGGTGAAGGCAAGGCGGTGATACTGGTGAGTGGGCTGGAATGAAGGTCGGGGAGCAAAGGGGTGAAGGAGGTAGGAGAGGGGCTTACAGTGCAAGCGTGACAGCCTGGCCCTCAAAGTGACGGTGTCATCACCTTAAACCTGCAGCAGTGCAAGAGGCCGAGGTGGTGTGGGCTGAGCAGCCTGCGAAGGGCTGGCAGCCAGCCGCCCAGCAACCCCGCAGCCTGGGCAGCAGCAGGTCAGAGTGGGCATCTGAACTGTGCCGACAGGGCCTGCAGAGCCCGGAGCTCCTACTTGCAGGAAAGTTGCAGCCCCTCCACCAAGAGGATCCAGGAAAGAGGAGAGCTTCTGGGGAGAGAAATACTCCCTTCCTGACACACAGGGAATCCAAGGTCACAGCCAGCCTGAAGCACCGCCAGCAGCTGTGTGGTGACAGCTCTCTCTGGCTGCTGCTGGGGGCTTCGTGTCAGCCAGCCAGACATCCTGGGTGGACAGGGAGGCCGTGCTCCCTCTGGTTTGGCACAGCCGCAGGAGCCCTGGCCCTCCAGCCTGTCAGCCTTTCCCCAAGGGGCTCAGCAGCCTGGAGTTTCCCAGGCCCACCTGAGAGGGGCGCATCTGGACGAGGCAGCTGGGGCTGGGGGGCTTCTCCAAAGACTTGACTTCCCTAGGCCGGAAGCCTCCCAGGAACAGTAAGGGCTAGCTTGGGTGTGACACCCGTGAGAAGCGCTACGTGCTACCTCCATGCAGGGACTGGAACTAACTCTGCTATTCCGATGCGGTAGC